GGGGGAAAGGCGGAAAAACAAAGGGGGGGGGGCGGCAAAAAACGAGGAAAGGGGCAGAGAGAGGAGGGGTACAAACCACGGGAGGACAAAGAGAGAGGGAACGAAACGGAAAGGGGGGAAAAAAAAAGCCGGGGCGCGAGGAAACGCGGACGAACCGGCACGAGGGAACGCGCAGCGGGCACCCACAGACACAAACACGGACGCACACGCGCAGGCCCACTCACACACACACACACACACACACGCCTCCCCGCCCTCGCCCACAGGCTCGAGCGCGTCGTGGTCGCCGAGGCGACGCCGCTCACCGAGGTCGAGATCGCGACCAAGCTCGCCTCCTTCCGCGCGGCGCAGCCCGGCTTTATCGACCTCTCCTTCCCCACGATCGCGGGCGCCGGCTCGAACGGGGCCATCATCCACTACGACTGCATGGTGGCGGACGCGGCGCGCGTCAACACGCTGGACGGCTCGCAGATGATGCTGCTCGACTCGGGCGGCCAGTACGCGACGGGGACCACCGACGTGACAAGAACTTTCCACCTGGGCACCCCCACCGACTGGCAGCGCGAGTGCTTCACGCGCGTGCTCAAGGGCAACATCGGCCTCGACACGCTCACCTTCCCCGAGGGGACGCCGGGGATGGCCATCGACGCCTTTGCGCGGCAGGCGCTCTGGCAGGCGGGGCTCGACTACCTGCACGGCACGGGGCACGGCGTGGGGGCGGCGCTGAACGTGCACGAGGGGCCGCACTCGATCTCGGCGCGGTGGGGCAACACGTGCGGCCTCGAGGAGGGGATGATCTGCTCCAACGAGCCGGGCTACTACGAGGCGGGCGCCTTTGGCATCCGGATCGAGAACCTGCTGGTGGCGCGCGCCGCACCGACGCCGAACGCCTTCAACGGCAAGGCGTACCTCCGCTTCGACCAGCTGACACACGTGCCCATCCAGGCGTCGCTCCTCGAGCCGTCCCTCCTCACCAGCGCAGAGGTGGAGTGGCTCGACGCGTACCACGCCCGCGTCTGGGAGCGTGTCTCGCCCCGCGTGGACGCCGACTCGGAGGGCGCCCGCTGGCTACGCCGAGTCACGCGCCCGCTCGCCGAGCAAGGGGTGCGGGGCTTGCCGCCCTCTAGGACGGCCGCAGTGGCAGAGGCCGCCGCTGCGTTATAGAGGCGCCGCTGTGCTGAGAGTGAGCACGGTCGCAGTGTGCAATGCAATTTTGTGGCACAAGAGTCTGCAGCTAGGTCTGGTCTTCGGAGACGAGCGGTGAGCCATCATGCATCAAAACGATTGGGTGCACAGTTTTTGTCTTCACAGCCTTGTTATGAGAAGAAAATACGTCCTATGGCGCTATGCGCTGGTCTGTGAGAGGTTGAGGTGCGAGCCCTGGAGGCCCTGGTGTTTGTGGGAGACCTTCACAGCACTTGGAGGATGGAGCACTTGGAGTGCAGTCGGCAACCTCACATCCAGGGCCGGGGAGCTAAGAAGCGTACCCAGCGGGCCGGATGATTGGCATCGGGCTACGGGCTAGAGAGCCCTGACCCCTAGCTCACCGAGTCACACCTTTTAGGCACCGACAATGACAGGGCACGCCAAATTGAAGCCCACAGCCCACAGTCCACAATGAAGGTCTCTCTCTCGTTCTCGCTGCTCGTTCTCGTGCTCCTCACGCTCGCAACGCCGGCCAGCACGTTGCGCCTGGGAAACTCGCGCCGCGCCGCGCCTTTAGCACCTCGCGCTGCGCGCTCGCTCGTCATGAACGAGCCCGAGGCAGAACCCGAGTCGGTGGAAGAGCCAGCCGTTGCTGGACCCGGTGGCATGAGCGCCGCCGCAGCAGCGGCCAACCCAGAACTGGCTTCCAAGGCGATGGCGATGGCGGAGACCATCGCCGCACTGCAGGCGAAGCTGGACGGCTTTCCGCAGCAAGCGGGCACCATGTACTGTGCGGCCGCTTAGTCGCACCTCCGCCATGTCGCACCGAGCACCCGACGGCGTCCGCCCGCTCGCCCCCCGGCAGTCATTACGAAGGACGACCTCACCACCGCCGAGAAGCAGCTGGCGGGTATTGTCGCCACCGCACTGACCGCCGAGGAGCGCGAGGCGGCAGCGGCAGAGAAGAAGGCAGTGGTTGCTGCCAAAAAGGCTGAGGCCGACGCTGCTGCGGCCAAGCGCAAGGCGGATGCGGCGGCGGCGGCAGAGGCAAAGCGGGTCAAGGCGGAGGCGGCCAAGGCGGCCAAGGCGGAGGCGGAAGCGGCAAAAAAGGCCGCGGCGGACGAGAAGAAGGCCGAGGCCGCATCCGGCTCTCCCTGCGTCTGTCCGCGTTTGGCATGTCCTGATTCTTGCGTAGGCGACCAAGGCCGCGGCCGCGCCTCAGAAGGCGGCAAAGTTTGAGCTTCCCAACCCCTTTGGGAAGAAGTGAAGGTGTACTGACCCTAGCCCGCCCCATGCACTCCGCTCCTCGCCTCACGTCTCACGAGACCGACTCCCATCCCCCCACCCTCGCTCCGTCACTCTAGACACGCTCCACGTCGGCATGCTGAAGAGCGCGGGCTTCTCGCAGTTCCAAAATGTTCGAGACCGGAACGGAACCCGCCTGAGAACACATGAGCTCCCGCGCCTCGGTCTACCATACGGCTCTCCTGGATGGAAGCCGGAAGGTGGCGGGGGGGGGGGGGGGGGGGGCCTTTTTGGAAAAATTTGGTACCCCATCCTCTGGGGGCCCTTGAATGATGCCCCCCGGGACCCCCGGGAAAAAAGGCCCTTTTAAGGGAAGCCTTGAAGGGTGCTACGAATCTCTCCTCACGCTATTCAGCGGCACACCCTACTTCGACTACCACGTACCCCAGTGCACCGCTTTGCGACCGACGCGCGGCTGATCCTGATGAACGTCGGCATCGGCTTTTCTTCCTCGTCATCCTGCACGCCGCGTACAACCTCGCTGCCTTTCTGACCAGGCGCGATATCGGCGGCTACTGGCCAGATATCGAGGCAGCAACTCAGGACGGCGCTGCTGCGCGCACAACGTCCTCAGCGCCGTGCTCACCGCGGTTGCTTCGCGCAGATGAACACGGCAATCGACGTGCGCGAGGCGGTCGAGGTCGATGCGTGCGACGCCTTCATCATGCCGTCGCGCTCGATGAGCATAGGCTCACGATCAAGTGCGGTGCCAGCTCGGCTTCATATCGACGGCCGCACCCGTCATGGAGCTGGACGTGGCGATGCCGGCGCGGCATGAGGTGGCGAGTGCCATGTCCTACTGGATGAAGTACCTCGCACAAACAAAGGGCATCACATACGCGAGCGTGCAGGCCGGCTACGAGAGCGAGCCAGCCTGCCCGCGCTGGGAGACGGCGTCGCAGAAACGTAGAAGTGGCGTCGAGAAGCTGACCATCACGAGCATGTCGGGGCCGCTTATCGTCGCCGCCGCCTTCATGTTCGCTGCCATCACGACGTGGATGGTGCGGACCAAGCTCTCGAAGCGTGCCAAAAGGAGGATGAGACGTGCCGTCAAACGCCTTTCAAACGGCAAAGGAGAGGAGGAGGACAAGAAGTTTAAGGACAAGAAGCTCGGCCAGCTCGCGCGCGAGAGCGCGAGTCGCATCTCGAACTGAGACGACTGGGACGGGCAGCGGAGGGCACGGGATCAGAGGCTGTGTGATTGGCAGAGCTGACATTTTTCTCACCTTGAGACATTTTTGTTAGGTATGTGTTGGTACATCAAGATACAGAGCTCACACATGAGAACTGCTCGGCCCACCCCGGATCCTGCTGAACAAGCTCCTCTTGTAGCTCGATCGGTCACACCGCCATCACCGCCGACGTCTCCCAGTGAGATGATGGAGAGGGGGGACGACACCGCTCGATCTACCCTCTGGGGTCCCTCAGCGGCGTGCACCTCGATCCTGTACCGTGTTTGTTATGACCCCCCCCCCCGGTGAACACACCAGTGAGGGAGGGCGAGACGATCGAGGGGTCCCGTACCAGGCGGAATCGACCCTATCCAGTGCTCAAGTGCTCAAGCTCACACAAATTCGTCGGGGAAAGCGGCGAGTCGCAATTCCAGGGTTTCGCTGTGGTTGGTCGACGTTGTGGGACCAACCTCCTGTCCGAGGTGCGAGAGAGACGCACGATTGTTTTATTTTTTTGGCTTCGGCGCGGAATTCTTTTCCTTGCTTGTTCTTTTCTGAATGAGCTTGCCTGCGGCGAGGGCGGTCGAGTGCACGGAGCTAAGTGCCTCGCCGTCCTCGCAGGAGTCGCTTAGGCGGCTCCCGTGGTGTACCTCTGTTAGTGCCAGTGCGCGCCAGTCTCGTGCCTAGTATCGTGCGAGGGAGTGGCTGCGAAAATTCTTTTCTCGCACGACTTATTTTAGGATTTTATAATTCTTTTCCTGTGTCGAGCCTGTCTGCTGTGAGAGAGAGTTCTTTTCTGTAAATTCTTTTCCTTTTGTTTAAATTCTTTTCCTCGTGCGTTCCCCCTTGCCCAAATGTCGGTCGAGTGGGACGCTCGGCTGCAGGCCGTCGAGCTGCCAAAGAGCATGGTGAACGCGCTTGTCCTCGACTGGCTCGTCAACCAGGGCCACCACGACGCGGCGGCCGCGTTTGTGCGCGAGTCCGGGACGCCGGCGGGCGATCTGGACGGCATCGCGGAGCGGATGTCCATCCGGCAGGCGGTCGAGGCGGGGCGGATGCAGGCCGCGCTCGAGGCGCTCGAGGCGCTGCATCCAGCGCTCCTCTCGGTCGACCCTCCGAACGGCGGCTCCGACCTGCAGCTGCTCTTTGCGCTGCAGCAGCAGCACTTCATAGAGCTCGTCCGCGCGGGAGATGTCGCAGCGGCACTGACGCACGCGCAGCACAAGCTCGCGCCGCTCGCGGAGGCGCAGCCCGCCCTGGTCGAGCCGCTCGAGCTCACGATGATGCTGGCGCGCCGTGAGACGCCGA